CTACCGATTTAGTTACATTAGTTATTGCTCTAGTGACAGCTTTTCTATCTGCCCCACGGCTAAGCCCATAAAACATTTTTTTTGAAAATAGTTTACTTCCAAAAGTATTTTTTTTAAGTATCAATTTACATATTTGGTACAATATTTTCTCTAAACATGTGCATTCATTGGGATTGAGAATATCATCTGACAAAAAGGAGCTATGATATGATCACCAACAATTGCTGCCCAAAATTCACATTTTCAGGATATTGCGGATATTATTGTTTCATATAGTCACTATATTATAGTGCAACTTGTTTCTAAACCAATAGCATTGCTGGCAAGTGTAAATGTGCATTCAACAGAAAAAACATGTTCTAACTGGATGGCATGTTGCATCGTCATCATTTGTTCACAAATGCGTTCTAGAATCGCCTTCCATAAGCTGGTATCATTTTATAGGGAAATTGGGTTTGCTTGTCCCAACTGGTTTGGTACTCTTAATTTTGGCACTGGCTTTATTTGCATCGTTTGTACAAACAAATTAAGCCCATAAAACATTTTTTTTGAAAATACTTAATTTGTTTAAGTATCAATTTACATATTTGGTACAATATTTTCTCTAAACATGTGCATTCATTGGGATTGAGAATATCATCGCCAAATGGTTATTGTTGGTTTCTTGGGGATCGTGGCACAATTTTTGTTTTGTTTTATGCCACATGTCTCGATAACATTAAGGTCCGGAGTGTGCGAAGGCCATGAGAGGACCTTGATGTTCATGTCCCTAAACCATTTTTTAGTAGTTTTAGCTCTATGACATGCCCCGCCCATCCTGTTGAAATATAAAATTATTGTCCTGGTCTTTACCAGAACAATTGGTTACAAGGACCTTTGTCCTTCCCACTTGAGACAAGAATATTTTTCCAAATTTTTTTGATTTTTTGACGCATCAATTATGCCTTCTACCACCTCATACTTTTCTGGGCCTATTTTGGACATACTTCTTCAAATTATAATGCCTTTGGGAAATTTCAATGTCCTTTTGAGGCAATCTTTATCAAATAGACACTATAGCGGTGTTAATTATATCGATATTAAGGTGGCTCATATGCACATGTAATCCGTGCACTTGCGATTGGAATTATTAGCGTCGGATTGAGAAATAATTAAATATTTTACCTTAATGTCATATTTGTAGTTTGTGACATCAGAAGTTCCAATCCGACGCTGATAATTCTAATCGCAAATTGCAAGTGCAAGGATTACATCTGCACGCATGCATGATCTTTATGAAAGATGGATAGTGGAATTTCCTAAAGACATTATGCTTTTATGGTTTATGTCCGCAATGGGTCTAGGAAGGTATGAGGTGGTAGAAAGGCACAACTAATGTGTCAAAATATTAAGAAATTTTACCAGGATATGAATTTTATATTTCAACAGGATGGCAGGGCATGCCATATGGCTAAAACTACTAAAAAATGGTTTAGGGACATGAACATCAAGGTCCCCTCATGGCCTTCGCACAGTCCGGACCTTAATGTTATCGAGACATGTGGCATAAAACAAAACAAAAATTGTGCCACGAAACCGTTGCCCATTTGACGATGATATTATGTGAATTATGGCAAAATTTTTACTCTGGCGTATGTCAATCATTAATAAAAACAACGCCAAACAGGCTTGCAGTGGTTGCAAAAGTTCATGCCGATGTAACGCCATATTAGAACAGTTATTTTTTAAAGTGTCCGAACATTTAGTTATCACGATATTGTGCAATCTTTTTGTTTATTTATTGGCCTACAGTTTATTATACATTAATATGTTCATAATTCAGTTAATGAAAATAAGGTTTTTAATAAATTTTTGTTTGTCCGAACATTTAGTTGTTAGGCCTCGTATAACAATATTTTTATAATACCGGCCGTAAATTCAACTTTATTAGCACGAATATGCCAGAAGGCTGAGGTGAGTTTTGCAAATTAAGGTTCAGTTTTTCTGTTAACGTACAAGTATACCATGAATTTAGATATAATAATAAACGAGCTGACTCCGCATTAAGTCCATTCCGAAGTTTAGTGACTAATCCTGCTTTTGAAAAAAGGCGTCCTGAAGGAACGCTCGTAGCGGTAAGAGTATGTTTAGGTGAGTTTTACAAATTAAGGTTCCGTTTTTATTTTAACGTACAGGTATACTATGAATTTAGACATAATAATAAGCGAGCTGACTCCGCATTTAGTTTTCGAAGTTTAGTGACTACTAATTCTTCTTTTGAAAAAAGGCGTTCTGAAGGAACGCTCGTAGCGGTAATACTTTAGCAGGTCTCTGGTCTCTTGCTATCTTAGAAAGGTGTGGATAATTTGCTTCATTTCTTTTCCACCACTCCAGTAATTTTTTCCCCTTTGATGCTCTGTCTGAATAGAAGTATGCGTTCAGTTCTTGTTTCCAAAATTCTTCAGTTTCTGATTGAGAAGTAGGCTTCTTGAATAAAAACTCAATATCCATATCATTATCTGAGCCAGATCTTTCCTCAATTTCTTGTACAACTGAATTTGGCCTAATCGGTGTAGTAGGTTTGTAGTAACGATTAAGCATAAAATGCTAACGTATGTAACGATTAAGATAAAATCTCTACCTACTTTAAAAGCTTCAATAAATATTTGGTTGCTTGGTAGACGTTCTTTCTTCTGCTCTAATTCTATTATCAAATTTTTTAATTTATCAATCAAAAAAAAATTATAATTTTTTTTTTCAATCCTGACATTTTTTACCTAAGGGATATTTCCTCCCTTAGGCAACATACAAAGCATTATTGAGATATATTAAACAAGTCGAAAAAAAACGAGACGAGATGAGATAAGATCTAATTCCGTCTCGTCTCGACATTGTCTCGTCTCGTCTCTATAATGTTTTATCTCGAAATTACGAGACGAGACGAGATAAGTTCTTATCTCGTCTCGTCTCGTCTCGCGGCAACTCTAGTAATATCTATTTCAATTCTTTTAAATCGAAGGACCTTAATAAGTAAAATAAGTTTTGCTGGTTCGCTGGTTGCGAATTTTCAAGTAATTTGTTTATAAATTTATTAAAAAACTTACCCACTTGGTTTCTGTCTCTATCTTCGGTATTTCTGTGGATATAAGGGATGGACAAAAAGGGAAAAAAGATAACCGAATTATAATTGATAGAACAACAGCACTTGTAGAGAAACCCTAATTATCCCTTCAACTTACGCGCAGTTCAGTTCCTCGGAATTCTCCGGTTCTAGTGCATTCTCTAAAACTCTCATAGAGCTCTCGGCCATCGATAGGAAGGCATGTGTCTGGAGGAGTTTTTTGGTGCAATCTTCGCACATCATTGACGGAATTCGCATATTCAACTGAAAAATAAACTGTCAAACCACTACAACACAAGAAATACAATAAATTACACCTTTCTTTTGGCCACGCTCTCATACACAATTATGAGGGATTTATCCATCTTCTTTAAAGAGTGGTTCTGTAGGCAGGTAATACAAGAGTATTCCTTTTCCTGTAAAAATTATGAATTGAAGATCAAGTCACATACAAAACGTTAAGAGTTAGTATAAAAATGCAGAATTAAATAAAAATTGTAATTTAGTTTATGGAAATTCGATGATTTTTAATTTAGTTGTTTACATGTTTGCCTTTTAATAATTCAAGGATTTTGAATTAGTGCCACCCAAACTTCTTTGACTTCGACAGTGACTCACTCACCGTCATCAAAATTCTAAGGTACTTGTAATGTCTATTTCAATTCTTTTAAATCGAAGGACCTGTATAAGTAAAATAAGTTTCGCTGATTGCGAATTTTTATTTAATTTGTTTAAAAAATTATTAAATAACTTACCCTGATTGAAGCTTGGTTTCTGTCTCGATCTTCGGTATTTCTGTGGATATAAGGGATGGACAAAAAGGGAAAAAGGATAACTGAATTATAATTGATAGAACAACAGCACTTGTGCAGAAACCCTAATTATGGCTTCAACTTACGCGCAGTTCAGTTCCTCGGCATTCTCCGGTTCTTGCGCATACTCTAAAACTCTCATAGAACTCTCGGCCATCGATAGGAAGGCATGTGTCTGGAGGAGTTTTTTGGTGCAATCTTCGAACATCATTGAGGGAATTCGCATATTCAACTGAAAAATAAACTGTCAAACCACTACAACACAAGAAATACAATAAATTACACCTTTCTTTTGGCCACGCTCTCATATACAATTACGAGGGATTTATCCATCTTCTTTAAAGAGTGGTTCTGTAGGCAGGTAATACAAGAGTATTCCTTTTCCTGTAAAAATTATGAATTGAAGATCCAGTCACATACAAAACGTTAAAAGTTAGTATAAAAATGCAGAATTAAATAAAAATTGTAAATTAGTTTATGAAAATTCGATGATTTTTAATTTAGTTTCTTACATGTTTGCCTTTTAATAATTCAAGGATTATGAATTAGTGCCACCCAAACTTCTTTGACTTCGACAGTGACTCACTCACCGTCATCAAAATTCTAAGGTACTTCTAATGTCTATTTCAATTCTTTTAAATCGAAGGACCTGTATAAGTAAAATAAGTTTCGCTGGTTGCCAATTTTTAAGTAATTTGTTTAAAAAATTATTAAATAACTTACCCTGATTGAAGCTTGGTTTCTGTCTCTATCTTCGGTATTTCTGTGGATATAAGGGATGGACAAAAAGAGAAAAAGGATAACTGAATTATAATTGATAGAACAACAGCACTTGTACAGAAACTCTAATTATGGCTTCAACTTACGCGCAGTTCAGTTCCTCGGCATTCTCCGGTTCTTGCGCATACTCTAAAACTCTCATAGAGCTCTCGGCCATCGATAGGAAGGCATGTGTCTGGAGAAGTTTTTTGGTGCAATCTTCGCACATCATTGACGGAATTCGCATATTCATCTGAAAAATAAATTGTCAAAACACTACAACAAACGGAATCCAGATTGCTCTTCATTTATATGATATTCTTCTTCTATTAGGTCCCTCAAAATTTTCCCATATTGTCGGTTAAATATACTCGTTACCGATATACCTCTATAATTTGAACACTCTTTCTTACTGTCCTTTTTGTGGATCGAAGAGATGAAGTGGGGGTGAGTAAAACAGCTTCTAGATCGAAACAAAATACTTTGGTGTTTTTGTCAGTCTTTGTGGTCTCTGTGTCGTTGTTTTTCTCTTCCCTAGACAAAGTTTTTTGGAGTTGGTGTCGTTCATACGTTTCTTTCTGCTCCTCTGTGCTATTATTAAATCGCATGCAGAGCTGACATTGATCCTTTTTTGGCTGTTGAAATCCTATGTTGAATTCGTTGTTGAAAATATTAGAATAAAGTGACTTTGTTCCAGGAAGTATGTTTGTAGCTTCACAACAATTAACATACATTCGATATAGCTCACTTAATGTAATATCATCAAATATATATTCTCGCTTACTATCAGCTCTGCAGTAATGAGAAGGGACCCTGTCAATTGAGTTAATATGATCTCTAATGGACTCTTTGATTTTAAGATCAACCACTCTATGTCTATCGTGCTTTTCCCTATTGTCACCCTTTACTATTCCATTAAAATCAGTTTTTGCAAAAGCAGTCCTAACGGTTCTATCTCATATACCTAAAGTTTTCATAAAAAACTTCTTACACACCCTGTCTTTGTTCCCATCAATAGGAAAATTTAAAAAAAAGTCTCTATTAAGCGATCTATAATTATTTGTAGACGATCTGTATTTTGGTTTTATTTCTTTGGTATTATATGAAATAAAAGATCTTTGCTTCGTGACATCTCCCAATTCCCAATACATTCGGAAGAGTTGGTTTCTCTGATCTTCCCTTATTTTAATTGAGCAGTTGTACTTACATTTTTCTTCACAAGTAGGGCCCATCTTTTTTTCCGGAATAGTCCGTCCTTTTGAACTTATATATGACTTACCCTCATTTTTATTTTTCTTGACTTGATTTTGCTTCCAATTATTTTCATTTCTTTTGCGTTTTCTAGAACGATTTGTTTTCTGTGTTTCTACATCTATTGATGATACAGATGATACACTTCAATTTTCAATATCTTCTGGAATGTAGTCCTTGTCAGTATTAGTAGTTAATTGTGAAGTACTGGAAATTTCTTCGGTACCCTTTTCAACCACATTTTTATTTTCCAGCATCACCCCTTCATTAAGAAAAATATTTTTAGTGTCTTTTAGTATATAGCGTGCAACACTTACCCTTTTCAGTACTTGTTTCTCTGAAAGCTCTTGATGGAACTTCATTTGAAATAATTTCAGCGACATCCGTAGTTTCATTTTCAAGAAGGAACTCTTCATTTGAATTAATAACTTCTTTGTCAAAAAAATCCAAATCAATGTCTTTGTTGAGGTCATCAGAAGCAATGTTGATTGAAAGACTAATATTCTCTTCTATGGGTCGGTAAATAATCTCAACATTGTTGGTTTCAATGTTAAACTTACTCGCAGGAACAAATTCAACTACATCGGGATCGTTAGGAGCTATAGGCTCTATGTACAGGACCTACAAAAAATAAAGTACAAAGTCTTAGTTCAATTTTCAAGTTATTTGTAGTATACCGTGCTGACAACTGTTACTCTTGGGTCGGTATTTACATGTGTGGAAGTAAATCGCATAGGGATTTTACTAAGTCGGAGTGAGAGAAATGCGACCGAGTGCTGTTGCGGCGTTGCCGGTACGCCTTTCCCTATCAAGTAAAGTAAAATCACGATCGCAAACCGCTTATTTTTAAAAGACTTTTTTTTTCGAAAAGATAACTAGATAAAATCATTAGAAATGTTTCTGAGCATCTGAAATGGAATTATAAGGATATCTTTAAGGTGTCATTTTTTTTATAACGAGAAAACGTCAGTAATCGCGATAATTTAAAAACTGAACTTTTTAACACATAACACGCCATAACTCAAGAAACACTTTAGATATTGAAACTTTTTTATTTTGAAGATAGGATCTTTTACAATATGTTTACATAAGTAAAAATCGATAAGGTTGTTTTTTTCCATTCAAAAATTGTAAACAACCCATCTATTTACTTTTAGAGCATAGCAATTTTCAGCAGTCGTGTAATTTTTGATAAAGATTTTCACTTATTGTCTATGAAGAAAATACAGCAGAAATATTAAGAAAGTTTTTGAAAAAACTACAATCAATTATTTCTAATAGATTTCGAGATATCGATTTTTGAATTCAGAGTTCTAATAGCCCGACCACTGTCGAAAACCAACTCAATTCCACTTATTTTTACCAAAAATGCAAGTGTTTCTAGCTTGCACTTAAAAATTTTCAAGCTATAAGGAAAATTACAACGACTCGTTAATAAATAAACAAAGAAAGTATCACGAGACGTAATTAAATCGTGAAGCTGAACGCATGATGTACACCTTTCCCTTGAATTTTAAGTACTGACAGAGGTACTGATTGAGTCGACCGGTCAACTGCGACAAATCTGCTATATCCCCTTTCACGTCTCTTAGCAATGTGCACAGTTTCTCGATTCATTTCATACGTTTGGCAACGTGTTTACTGTTCTTTCTTTGTTCAGTGCATTATAAACGCATTGTACTCTTCTTATATACGGAAATATTGACCCAAGACTAATCTTTGCCAGCCCTTAGTATTGTGTATACTTTTAATAAAAAGTACCTTGACATTTTGGTCTATCAGGGTGTCCATTTCTGGTTCGACATTAATATTGTTTATTTCTTGGTGATTAGCAGTAACACCAGATTCTGACGAATCTAATAACTGAAAAAAATATTTTTTTAAGATTTAGGTAATGTTACGTGTAATAGTAATTTAGGTAACAAGTTCTGAAATAAATATTTTACGGGAGAAGTAGTTTCTAGTACGAGCCGTAGGCGAGTCTTGGAATCCCCCGACTCTCGTAAAACCACCTTTAGCTCGCGTTACGTACAATATTTTTTCGTTAGAAAACATAGATTGAAAAGCAAAATCACCCAAATGTCGCTGGTCATACGACATACCTAATGGATTTTGGTTTATTATGGTTACCTAACGGTTTTTTAATATAATAAAAACCAAGTTGACGTTATTTCCAAGGCCGCCTACTTAATGCCCAAAATCGTCCCGAGCTGCGTTCACGGAAGCGAAACTTTATAGAACTCTGTGGTTCACGGCAAGCTATAGTCATGCCAAAATCGACATAATTGCTTTCCAAATAGGCTGCAGCTTGTCACATATCCCTGGCTTTTGACAATAACGGTATTGGTAATGCCATTTTCGGTTTGGTTATAGCCTGCCGTGAACGCAGCCCCGAAAGTACATTCCGTACAAAACAAAAATTGGCCCGGAAATAGCTACTTTCGATACCTACATTATTTAAGTAAAGTGGTATTTTCTATTAAATAAATTATACCAGAAGTTGTCTTTTCCTGACTGCTGCAGGAAAAGTGACATTTTTGAATTAATAAAAAATCATAGCGAAAGTTTTAGTTTCGGGACGGCTCGAATGTAGAATTTTTTTTAACGTCTACTAGACAGTTTTTTGGTAACCTATTATGTAGTTTGTTACCACTAAAAATAAGTTACGATAATCCATACCATTTAAGTACTTACCTTATTTTCCTTGTTGGAGCTTTCCATGTTTTTGAGGGCTAACAACAAACTTCTTTTCAACATGGATGTTTCAGTCATGTTATAACACGTAAAAAACAACAAAATAATTTTTTTTTTTTATTACTAATTATATTAAAAACACTTTAAATTACAATGATTGTATGTGTTTCAGCCAATAACAATGATAAAGTAGAGAGAACGATGAATAATAATCGTCGCGTTTCAACTTGTTGCTTAGTTTAAAAATAATCCTGTCAAATAAGTTCCGATAAAAAGCGCCATAAATGTGGCTTAACTTGATATCGCATTTGCGATTACGATTATAAAAGTGCCGTAACTAGAGTTATAGCGTAGTTTCTGATATATTAGTGTGTGTTTGCAGAAAATAATTCGAATTAAGGCAGTTTTAGATACAAATTTGAGTTGTGGCCAGATTTTAAATGGTTTTCAGGCACCTATGTGGGTAATTTGATTTGTGGCTCTATTTGTATTAAAAACTCATTGATATTTTGCATCGGTAAAACACAAAAAAATGTAATTTTCTTATTTTTTTGCCTTGAGATTTCGTATCTCTTCGTTTATAATAAGAATAAAATAAAAAAAAAAAAAAACACACACACATTTTTAAGGTCTAATAAATAAATTTCGTTCCACCTGTCAAATTTCTGACTGTACGCGTATATTCGTATTATTATATGATTTTTAAACTTTTTTTGTTATTAGGGGTGTCCATTGTTATTAAGGGTGTATGTTCTGAACTTCCCGGAAGTACTTCCAACTCCATATCTTCCAAGGAAATATTAGTCTCTGTATTATCTATCTGAGCGTTTCCACTTACATTTTTTCCAACACATATTGTGATATCTCTAATGAGACACCTGACGCCTCCATTGTTTTTCTCATGACCTCTGATAGGTAATTTACTTCTAGCGTCGAAATATGAAATGTTCTCTGCCGCCATTATCTCTTTTATTGTGCTCTCTTGTCTCCTATGTAACTCTGGGCAGTTATCCTGTGGTGACGTGATTTATCTTATTACAATAAATGCAGGCGCATCTTTATCTTGTGTAAACGGGATATTCCATGTTCTTTCGACACATTTAGGAACACCCTGTTTTGCTTCTACATTGCTTAATCGAATGCCCATACCCCATACAATTAAAGCACAAGATCACAGGGCTGACATATACGTCCACTCTTACTTCACAGTATTCGATTTTTATAGCCTGGAGGATAATTTTACCTTCGAATGTGATAATTACTAATTCTGTATCTATGTATTTCGCAATGCCATCAGCTATTATCTTTTTTGTAATCTTCTGGCTTCAATTATTTTCTGAAGAAGAAGAGGAATAAAGTAGAAATATATCGAGGGAGCCATTTTAAATTCAAAAGTTGTAGTCATTGGAAGTCAACAGGAAGTGACGACGACCAAATCTCTCGTTTCTTCTTTATTTTGAAAAAAAATAAAAAAGATGTAGGATGGCACTTTTTTAAGACGCACCCGGTTATTCGCGCGTTCTACAAAAATAACACTATTTCGCTTTAACCTATTATTCTGATATTGTCTGAGATAATGAGTGGTTTGAGTTGAAATTCAAATTTACCGGGCTTTTCTTAGTACAGCAACTCGGTTTCTAGTTTTTGTTTTATTATCAAATTGTGACGTCCACAGAAATAATCTATTTGTTTGAAATTAGTTCTCTACTTCCAATTTTATCTTTTGGAAGAGTTATAATACAGTCGTCTACATATCTATGGAAAAAAGGAATGTAGTACTCTAACTGTCATAAAATGTTCCATCACATTCTGTGCCACTATATTCGACATGGAAGCCCTCATAGCACAACCCTCTAATTGCTTGTATTCTATTCCCTGGAATATCTGCATATTTTTTTCTATTTTTTCTTGGTGATTTCACAATCTACCTCTATCGGGATACTAGTAGAGTCATGTGGGGTAAATGTACGCATTTTTTAATTAAATTAAAAAAAAAAAAAAAAAAAAAAATAATGAAAAGAAAAACTTTGTTATACATTTGTGAAGAACAACAAAACATAAAATTACAATTCTAACAATAATTATAAGTTTTACTTAATAATTTAATCAACAAAGAAAATGCGGGTTTTTACCCGCATCGGTGGGAAAGTGTCCGCACACCTTCGGCCAAGTGTACGCACCATCGACAAAGTGTACGCAAGTTAAGTTAATTACTAATTGCACAAAGATCACATGTAAATATGCCCTTCTCGTAACTGGTACAGGCCTCGTGCCACCAAGACTTACAAATTGAGCACTGTATCCACACCTCGGCTGTATCTCCATACTTTTCTCTACATAACGGACAGTAATATTCTTCTTTTGAAGATGTTATTTTGTCGGTAGTTTTGTCTTTCTTAGTATCATTTTTCTTCTTTGGCTTGCCTCTGGTCTTTGGTTTTTTTGTCCCAGTTTTTTCTTCAATTTTTTTTTGTTTCACCTCTAAAATCTTTTTAAACGGACTGCCAGTTATTATTTCCGACTTGCTAGCTTTTTTGCGTCGTGTCTGAATATGTGTTGCTTTTGGTAGTGGGCTTATATTTATTAAGGGAATGTGGGACTCAAGAGTATTGGAAATGTTTTGGAGAACAGCAGGCGAAGTAATTGGTTCTTCCAGATATGTATCTATTCGGTCCAATGGGTCAGCAAGGGCGTGTAATTGGTCATTGGCTTGGTTAATCCCAGCTGCAGTTTCCATCGAAACTTCATCAACAGTCAAACTAATATGTTGTATAGGTAGTGGCGAACTTGGTTGGTGATGCACTTCAGCAGTAATCGTAATGGTATGCCCCACAATTTCTTGAGTATCTTCTAAATCAACAGTCGCAGAAGAAATTGATGGTTGTGCAGCAGGTGCAACAGATATAGCTTCATGGCTTTGCGTCTCCAGAACGTCTACTGCGTTTACAGAACTCGGAGAAGGTATATTTCTAGCTACAGGATCAGCAGATGGACTAAACATATCCGTAACTGCAGACGGTGCAAAGTCTGTTTCTGTAAACATATCATTATCGAAAGGATATATTCCAGTGACCCTGAATACTGAAGCTGCATTACTCACAGTAGCAAGTTTCTTAAACGCTCTGTCGAAAATAGATGTCACTTGATATTGGTTAATAGATCTACCAGGATGCTGTGCCATCCATTTATCAGCTTCGATTGAGTACTGACTTTTCAGAGGACTGTAAATGGCCCTATCCAAGGGTTGTAGTTTATGACTACTATGTGGTGGCAAGGTAAGCACAACGATGTTGTTCTCTCTGCAATACAGAGTAGCTTGCAGGATAATATGGCTCGAATGATTGTCAATAATCAGTAGCACAGGATTATTGACAGTTGGTGAAGTGTAGTCCTTGAAGTGTATCAGCCACTGTAAATATAAGTCCCCGTTGATGAACCCGGAATCAGATGTCATGCCAATACTACCAGCAGGAGCTCCATCCATAAGTTCCCCCTTCATTCTTTTTCGAGGAAAAATAAATGCAGGCGGCACATAATTTCCAGTAGCACTGACACAGCAAACTGCAGTTATAGTTTGACCACGTTCTCCGGAAACTATTTTGTTAACATTTTTTTTCCCTTTCAGGGATATGACTTTAGGTGTTTTTTTGGGAACCGTACTGATACCAGTCTCATCCATATTATATATTCGACCTGGAGCAAAGTTATATTTTTTTGAAGCTCTTTTAAGTTGGCATAAAATCTATCTACTTGTACTTTATTGAAACCAATTGCTCTTGCTATGCTTGTAGGTGTAGTTTGCTTTAAAGACAAATTCGATGGCTGTTTATGAAACTTCATTATACCAGTCTTTTCCTGCCATTTTTTGTACGTTTTAGCAACAAATTATTCTTTATAAAAAAAAAAAAAAAAAAAACTAAAATTTCTCAATGCGTTCAAAGTGAGACCGTAGAACCTCTCGTCACTAGCTTTGCAATGGTTGTAAATTTCTTCCTGAAAACAAAATAAAATCGCATTTCATTCTTACTGTATTTATTACGATGGTGACGATGCTTGATGTAGTTGAAAATAACGGGATTTTTTTAAATGCACGTCTCTGTTCACAAAATAATAAATTCACAAATGAAATATAGTTGCAACAGAAATATGATGATTTTTTAAAACATAAGTAAAATAAGTACCTACTAATAGCTTAGCATTAAATTTAGATAAGTTCGATTAGTTTTACCTCTTGTTCACGAGTAAATGTTGGTTTATATCTTCCCATTGATATTGCAGTGGAATTTAGTTTCAGACGTTTTCTCAGAGTACTCTCATCGACTCCAACAATGTCTGCGGCTTTTCTTTTCGATTTTCCCTCTTCCATTAACTTTTTGGCTGCATCAATCTGCTGTTGTGTGCAGACTTTCCGGTCCGGACATTTCCTTATATATTTGCGAGGCATTTTCAGTCTAGAAGGCAAAAAAAATATGACGGGGTAAGTATACGCATTTAATTTGTGCGGACAGTTACCTCCGGACACTTACCCCATCCCATCATGTAAAATAAAAATAATAAAATTTCGAAGTATTACTTACCTTAGACAAAATACGTAGATTGACACAAATAATTGATTAATTTGTCCTGCTCCCAGGCACTATATTATTCAATCCGACTATTAACTTGCCTTTAGTGTGGAAATCAATTTCAACAAAATAAATAACAAATCCGCGTAAAAACAATATTGGCGCGTAAGCTCCCATTGCATTGTGCTGCACGCTTGTTACACAGCATTCTCGCTTGGTGGTTAGACCCGAACTAAACACGATAAGTCTCGACAAGCTGTCATCCGTAGCATTCGCAGGATAGGTACTGCGGACACTTATTCGCCGCGTATGCTTACCCCACATGACTCTATAAAGTGATACAACATCAAGTGATATTAGGACATAACTTTCTGGAATATTCATATGTTTAATTTTTTCTTTAAATTGTCTAGAATTTTTAAGATAATAGTTCATTTTGATAAACAATATTACTTAGTATTTGCTTTAAAAAAAATCATAAATTTTGCATTGGTAACTGGACACAAGAAACGATTGGCTTTAAGGGTATTCCGTCTTGGGCAATCTTGGAAGACCGTAAATTGGAACAGCATTTCCAATTTTTATTTTTTTTTGCTATTTGGGGAGAAATATATTAATTTTTTCCCATTCCTCAACAATTTTATTAGATTTTTTTGGTAGTTATTTGTGGGATACTGCTTTTTTTAATATATTTTTTTGGTAAGTAGATTATTCGTTTTTGCGTTGTACTACAATGTACTTTATGCATAATAACAGTTTTGTTGGTTTTATCTGCTCTCAATATTTTAATGTCTGGATTTTTAGAAAATAATTTAGATGTTTTTTGATATTGTTATTTTTTATTTTTTCTTGGTGAGTTGTTGTTAAATTATTTATATAATTTGTTACAATATACATAAAATACCTTATATTTGAATGAATTATCACTAGTTAGTCGTTAAAACGTTAGTTAGTTAATTTTGACAGTGTTATAGAATGTAAAATATAGGGGGGAGGAATCTTGAGTTGACATTTAACATTTTAAGAATATCATCACAAATCTGAAAAGGAATATATTCATGCGAAAGGTACTGTTCAAAATTTCCTTTCTAATAAACTTACGAGCTGTACATTAAGTAAATAAAAAATCTTCCTATTTATATAGACATGCTCATCATTAGTCGTCTCTCGGGCCACAATGCTCACATGAGTACTATCAATGCAGCCAATTATTCCAGGAAACTCGTACTTTTAATGAAATCTAAAGGCCTGTAGATCAGAAGAAGAAAACTGTTTTTAAAACGATTTTTAATAAATCACCATAAAAAATATTTCTGGGCATTTCGATTTCACGTTCATATATTATCTGGTTCGAATAGTTTGCAGCTCATTAATGGTTTGAGGAGACTTTATAATAATATTATCAAATTCAGGCCGGTTTAGTGCTTTTGTGACCTCATTATCGCTCGGCTAATTGATGATTACCTAATGGCCACAAAACTGTTTGATACAGTAATTTCCTGGTAGCTGCCCGATGCGTAAAATCGCAAAACCGGTAATACCTAAAAATATTAGAAATATTTAGTTTTTAAGAACATAATAAAGTATGTATAACCTGCCTTAGTGTTTTTTTATACAATAAGTACTTAAAATAAGTCTACGTAAATATGTCTTAAGGTTCTTTACTTACCTTGGTGTGTATAAATAAACCAGTGAGTCTTGTCGGTTGGGACAAAAAAGGGGTGATCGTGTTAATCTGCAGTCATCATGATGTCTCTCTGCATCATCATGTTTCTCTGCAGAGCTGTTTTCCACCTTGAATATAATAATAATAATAATAAACGTCTTTATTGAAAATTATATATGGGCGAAGTCTAGTTATTTAAAGAATGGTGCCCTCTCCAGTAAATATTTTTTAAGGTTTTATTTAAATTTTTTATATGACTCATTGTCATCATAATGTCTCTCTGCAGAGGTGTTTTCTACCCTGAATATAATAATAATAAACGTCTTTATTGAAAAAATATATGGGCGAGAGAGAGATGTCTAGCTACATTAGCCACTCATACTCAACCCACAACAAAATTAGAATTACAAAATCATCATAGTAATGTAATGAACACAAAGTCAATACTCAATATATACTACATATTGAAACAAAATCCTACTACTAATATATTCTTACGACTGACAATTGTTACTACATACTATATAAACAAATTATGCCATTACTAGTAAATATTTTTTAAGGTTATATTTAAATTTTTTATAGGACTCATTGTCATCATGATGTCTCTCTGCATCATCATGTTTCTCTGCAGAGCTGTTCTCCACCTTGAATATAATAATAATAATAAACGTATTTATTGAAAAATATATATGGGCGAAGTTTAGCTATTTAAAGAATGGAATTGGTGTGTATAAATAAACCATAGACTCTTATCAGTTGGGACAAAAAAGGGGTAGTTGTGTTAATCTGCAGTCATCATGATGTCTCTCTGCATCATCATGTCTCTCTGCAGAGGTATTTTCCACCCTGAATATAATAATAAACGTCTTTATTGAAAAATATATATGTGCGAAGCCTAGCTACATTAGCCACTCATACTCATCCAGAACAAAATTAGAATTACAAAATCATCATAGTAATGTAAGGAACACATAGTTATTACTGAATTCCTATGTATACAAACATACATCTTTAAATGACTCATTGTCATCATGATGTTTCTCTGCATCATCATGTCTCTCTGCAGAGGTGTTTTCTACCCTATTCTATAATATACTAATATATCTACTATATATATATATATATATATATATATATATATATATATATATATATATATATATATATATATATATATCAAGGATATATATATATATATATATATATATATATATATATATAGTAGATATATTAGTATATTATAGAATAGGGTAGAAAACACCTCTGCAGAGAGACATGATGATGCAGAGAAACATCATGATGACAATGAGTCATTTAAAGATGTATGTTTGTATACATAGGAATTCAGTAATAACTTTGTGTTCCACATTACTATGATTGCTTTTGTAATTTAATTTTGTTCTGGATATCATGAGGATATATATATATATATATATATATATATATTATATATGGGTGGAAACCATTACCATAACAAACAAATCATTAGGGTAAGTCTCCTACTGCTGACGCAGTCTTCCCGTTTCCCGTCTACAAGCCAGTCTATCAAAGACATCATCGTCCTCTAATTGCCGAGCTTCCATGGATTCTCTTATTCCGTCGTTCCAGGATCGTCGTGGTCTTCCTCGTTTTCTTCGTTGTGGCGGAACCCATTGAAAGACTCGTTTTGGCCATCGATCATCTGGCATTCTCATGAGGTGCCCAAACCATTTCAGCGATCTTCTCTCTCTTCTTCTTATCACTTCGTTGCGCACGCACTCCCTTCTAGATACTCGTGCGCTTCGCCTGAGGTAGTCCATTTCGGTGGCAAGAAGTCTTCTGCGCAAATCAGAGTTAACCGTCCATACCTCACATCCATAGCACAAGACGGATTCAACCAGGCTCTGTCCAAGTCGTTTTTTATTCCTCTTGGATATGTGTCTATCCCACCAAACTCAGTTTAAGCATCCGATTACTCGTTTTGCGTTCTGAATCCTTATCTTAACTTCCTGTTGTTCGAGGCCTCTTTTGTTAATATTAACGCCCAAATATTTAAATTGTTCTACCTGGCTAAGCTGCACTTCAACATTCAGCAGAAGTTCGAAATTGGTTTGAATTTCTGGTGTGTGTGGTTAACTCGGATAACCACACACACCAGAAATTCGGTTTTCTTAAAGCTGATTTTTAATCCCCATCTTTCATATTCTTCATGTAGCCTGTTTAACATAAACTCTAGGTCGTAAGAATCTTGAGCGATCACCACTTGGTCATCAGCAAAGCTGAGCGAATATAAAATATGTTCTCCCACTGGTATACCCATTCCACCACATTTTCGTTTCCACTCTTTTAATGCAACTTCTATGTATATATTAAAGAGCAATGGAGATATACTGCAACCTTGCCTGCAATCCTACCAACTAACTGCAATCCTACCAGAAATGGCTGACTCAAAAAAATTCTCAAAACAGAGAACAGTACAAATTAAAAAACCGTCAACTACGATCAGCTATAACAGAGGAAAAGAACATATCTTGGGAAAATAAATGCATTGAAATTGAAAACACTGTCGGAGGAGCACAAAGCAGTGAAGTAATAAAAAAGCTAAAAACACCAAATACTGAACTATTCGATAAATGGATTAGTCTAGACAATTGGCACACACACTATAAGACATTATTTGTAGAGGGAAGACCGGAATTTACTAGCCAAGAAACGCCTACTATTACTCACGCCAATCGGTTAACAATCGAGATTGCAGAAGTGAAAAAAGCTCTAAGCACTATGAAAAATGGAAGATCGCCTGGACCAGGCAATATTGCGGCAGAGCTACTTAAATATGGAGGAAACCACTTACTAGAGCGAATCACTAATCTGATGAATATGGTTTGCTACCAAATCAAAATTCCTACGGAATGGAAAGTCTCACATATTGTATCCATTTTCAAAAAAGGCAACAGAAAAGATCCAAACTGCTATAGAGGTATTAGCATCAATAGCTCGTTAAGTCGCTTATATGGTAAAATAATACAAAATAAACTTCGGGCTAATGTAGGTCACAAAATCGGAGAAGACCAGAGCGGATTTAGGCCAGGAAGGTCTTGTGTCGATAACCTGTTCACCTTACAACAACTACTGTAAAAACAAATTGCCGTAGATAGAGAAGTCCACATAGCCTTTATAGATCTAGAGAAGGCATACGATAATGTACCACGCTCGAAACTTTGGGAAGCTCTAGAAATAATAGTAACTGATAGAAACCTAATAGAAATTATAAATGAACTCTATAGAGACAACCACCCATATATTAAAGTTGGAAAACATCTATCCGAACCTATAATAACAACTACCTTGAATATAATAATAAAATAATAATAATAAACGTCTTTATTGAAAAATATATATGTGCGAAGTCTAGCTACATTAGCCACTCATACTCAATCCAGAACAAAATTAGAATTACAAAATCATCATAGTAATGTAAGGAACACAAAGTTAATACTCAATTCCTATGTATACAAACATACATATTTAAATGACTCATTGTCATCATGATGTCTCTGCAGAGGTGTCATTGAATATAATATAATAATAATAACACACCCTAAATATAATAATAATAATAAACGTCTTTATTGAAAAATATATATGGGCGAAGTCTAGCTACATTAACCACTCATACTCAACCTACAACAAAATTAGAATTACAAAATCATCATAGTAATGTAATGACCACAAAGTTAATACTCAATACCTATGTATTCATACAAATTCCTACTACTAATATATTCTTACGACTAACAATTATTACTACATACTATATAATCAAATTATGCCCTTTCCGGTAAATATTTTTTAAGGTTATATATAATTTTTTTATATGACTCAATGTCATCATATTCATCATAATGTCTCTCTGCATCATCATGTCTCTCTGCAGAGGTGTTTTCTACCCTGAATATAATAATAATAATAAACGTCTTTATTGAAAAATATATATGGGCGAAGTCTGGCTACATTAGCCACTCATACTCAACCCACAACAAAATTAGAATTGCAAAATCATCATAGTAATGTAATGAACACAAAGTTAATACTCAGTACCTATGTATACAAACAAATTCCTACTACTAATATATTTTTACGACTGACAATTGTTACTACATACTATATAATCAAATTATGCCCTTTCCAGTAAATATTTTTTAAGGTTATATTTAAATTTTTTATAGGACTCATTGTCATTATGATGTCTCTCTGCAGAGGTGTTTTCTACCCTGAATATAATAAGAATAATAAACGTCTTTATTGAAAAATATATATGGGCGAAGTCTGGCTACATTAGCCACTCATACTCAACCCACAACAATATTAGAATTGCAAAATCATAATAGTAATGTAATGAACACAAAGTTAATACTCAATACCTATGTATTCAAACAAATTCCTAAAACTAATCTATTCTTACGACTAACAATAATTGTTACTACATACTATATAATCAAGTTATGCCCTCTCCAGTAAATATTTTTTAAGGTTATATATAAATTTTTTATATGACTCATTGTCATCATACTCATCATAATGTCTCTCTGCATCAGCATGTCTCTCTGCAGAGGTGTTTTCTACCTGAATATAATAATAATAATAAACGTCTTTATTGAAAAATATATATGGGCGAAGTCTGGCTACATTAGCCACTCATACTCAACCCACAACAAAATTAGAATTGCAAAATCATCATAGTAATGTAATGAACACAAAGTTAATACTCAGTACCTATGTATACAAACAAATTCCTACTACTAATATATTTTTACGACTGACAATTGTTACTACATACTATATAATCAAATTATGCCCTTTCCAGTAAATATTTTTAAGGTTATATTTAAATTTTTTATAGGACTCATTGTCATTATGATGTCTCTCTGCAGAGGTGTTTTCTACCCTGAATATAATAAGAATAATAAACGTCTTTATTGAAAAATATATATGGGCGAAGTCTGGCTACATTAGCCACTCATACTCAACCCACAACAAAATTAGAATTGCAAAATCATCATAGTAATGTAATGAACACAAAGTTAATACTCAATACCTAGGTATTCAAACAAATTCCTAAAACTAATATATTCTTACGACTAACAATAATTGTTACTACATACTATATAATCAAGTTATGCCCTCTCCAGTTATGCCCTCTCCAGCTGTGCCATCTCCAAATATTTTTTAAGGTTATATATAAATTTTTTATATGACGCATTGTCATCATACTCATCATAATGTCTCTCTGCATCAGCATGTCTCTCTGCAGAGGTGTTTTCTACCTGAATATAATAATAATGATAAACGTCTTTATTGAAAAATATATATGGGCGAAGTCTGGCTACATTAGCCACCATATACTCAACCCACAACAAAAATTAGTATTGCAAAATCATCATAGTAATGTAATGAACACAAAGTTAATAATTAATACCGATGTATTACAAACCAAAATTCCTACTACTAATATATTCTTACGTGAGTGACAATTGTTACTACATACTATATAATCAAATGGCTGTGCGATAGTCTTCCATCTTAAAGTTAGGAGGTGTTATAAATTGACCAGAAGGACATCATGATGACTCATTGTCATCATGATGTCCTTCTGCATCATCATGTCTCTCTGCAGAGGTGTTTTCTACCCTGAATATAATAATAATATCAAAGTAAAACACCTCTGAAGGCGGGTAAGGGGACAAATAACTCACCATCTTTAAGATGTTTATTTAAATTTAAATGCTTCAAAAAAAGCAGGGGGCGACATGTTTCGGGACTTAAACAATTTCCATCATCAGGCCCAGAAAGCTAAAACAATTACAATCAGAATAATAGAAAATTCCAATAGTCAAACAGAGGTCAAAATTATAAAATACGATCACAAAATAAATTAAAATGTTAAAAAATTTTTATAAAAGGTTAAAAGGTTATTTCTATCACAATAATTGTTTATTGATAATAATAATAATAAACGTCTTTACTGAAATATATATATGGGCGAAGTCTGGCTACATTAGCCACTCATACTCAACCCACAACAATATTAGAATTGCAAAATCATAATAGTAATGTAATGAACACAAAGTTATTACTCAATACCTATGTATACAAACAAATTCCTACTACTAATATATTCTTATGACTGGCAATTGTTACTACATACTATATAATCAAATTATGCCCTTTCCAGTAAATATTTTTTAAGGTTATATTTAAATTTTTTATAGGACTCGTTGTCATTATGATGTCTCTCTGCATCATCATGTCTCTCTGCAGAGGTGTTTTCTACCCTGAATATAATAAGAATAATAAACGTCTTTATTGAAAAATATATATGGGCGAAGTCTGGCTACATTAGCCACTCATACTCAACCCACAACAATATTAGAATTGCAAAAACATAACAGTAATGTAATGAACACAAAGTTAATACTCAATACCTATGTATTCAAATAAATTCCTAAAACTAATATATTCTTACGACTAACAATAATTGTTACTACATACTATATAATCAAGTTATGCCCTCTCCAGTTATGCCCATTTATGCACATTGTCTCTCTACATATACCCATAAAAATTTTGGTTTCTACATCTTTCCGTTTTCGTATAATCAACCGAGGCGAATGAGGTGCGCCACCTGTATTTCGTAGATAAGTAAACACACTGTTTCAAAATAAAATTTATTTATTAAACACTAAACGATTCACAAAATTAAGTCCTTGTGTATTATAAAATGAAGAAAATCTGCCCTACGTTCTTCACCCCCGTCCAATATATCTTGGTGTTCGGAATATTTAAATGACTTAAAATTATGCTGGTTCAAAATTCGCCAAGCAGTGGTAGGATGTTTTTCAACTATTTATTCAAGTATTCTGGTACTACTTGTTTTTCATTTTCCACTTATAACAGAATATTTCATTCATTTCCATTTATTACTTCTCTATGATCCTTATCAATATTAATATTTTTATATTTACAATCTTTAATAATTGTTCCTGTCAGAATTCTTATCGTTACATTTTTAGTCTTTAATAACAGTGTGGTCTACTTGGAAAATGTACAGAAAAGGATCCTTTACAGCCTGTACATTATTTCCTCCAATACCACATATTTTTTCATCAGTTGTGTACTTTATATTTACAAATTATTTTTGGCACGTATAAAGTCAATATGGCATTAAAAAAGATTTCTTTTAAAATTATTTTTGGTAACAATAACGCCAATTTCATTGAATAGAATAAAAAATTCAATTTGAAGCTGTGAAATTGTTAGCATGATTGCTTATGACTCTAAAAGGAATTCGTAAAAGCTATTGAAAATTAACAATTTGCTTCATTTTATGGAGTTTTTTTAAAAAGTTCCAAATAATTTTCTCTGTAAAATAAAATGGAAAAAACTTAATCATCATCTTTAAAATTTTCATGGTATTTCCTAGGTTCATGCCGATATTCTGTATAGTATTAAACCAGTGGTGGCACGTGGTGCGATGCACGCCAAAAACGCTTTTAAATAAAATTAAAAGATCATATTTTATTCAAAAAAAATAAATGAACTTAAAATCTAATAATAATACCGAAAAAAAATATTTTAGTTTAGCTGATAAAAACGGTTATAACGCTCCCATATCGCTCTTAGTCACTGGTGCGATCGCTGGTATTCCCGCAGCTTCCTTGGTCACACCTGCTGACGTCATCAAGACGCGGTTACAAGTGGTGGCTAGAGCGCACACTGGTTCAGAGGCGGCAGAAACCCTATTTTTTAGAAGTCAAGATTTCGTTAATTCTAAACTCGTTTCTTATAGTATATTTCCCGTAGAATCCAGCACTGATACAACTTTTTTGAATAAAAGCTTTCTTCGTGTGTAAATAATCAGTGGAAATGGAAGGATAAAAATATGCAAAAATGACAATACTTTGAAAATTCTCTTCGCTATTGTGGTAGGCATTAAAAACTGATCTACTCTTTTATTATAACCATAATATATAATTCTGTCAATTATTTAAAAATATTGGGTTTTCGAAAATTTTAATTGAAAAGGTTTTTAGGGCAATAGCTACGATTGGTTTAAAATTTCTTCTATTTTAGGTCATTTAAAAAAACCTTTACGCTCCTTTGTGTTTTAGTTGCTATATTTACATTCTACAAAGAGTAATCTAACAAATTATACAAAAATCAGCTGCCTAAACTTGCCTATTGAGCAAAAAAATCGTTTCAAATTCCTTTACCGTAAAACGAAGAAATATTTTTAATATTATTTCCAGCAAATAAGTGTGTTGTTCGGCCATGGGATATCCTACTAATTATAAAACATTTAATAAATCATCTTAATCTAATCAAAAATTATTAATTTCGTTAGTAATGCGTCAATAACTAAAGATTATCTTACTTACATACTAGCCGTACTACATACTACCTTACTACATAGTATAGCCCACAATCAATTTACATTAATACCAGATATCAAAAAAAAAATAACAGAATAAATAAAATATCCTTGCACCGTCCGAGATTCGATCTAAGGTCTTTCGCTTCATGGCCCGAAACTTTACCCATTGCTCCACGGAAACCTGCTCAACAAGACTTCAATGACGGTTTATTAATAAAAAACCCAAAATAAAAACAAATAGCTTCTTCTAGCTTGCGTGTGAGTATAAGTTTGTGAAACGGGATACCTCGTAATACATATAGAGTTTTCGAGTTTCATACCGGGAGTTGTGCGATGTTATAATAAAGGATATGGGCTTGAATGAATGGTTGGAAAATCAATTTTCATTATCAGCAGATGAAAAAAAGTTGATTATTAGAGCGGTAAAAATGGCACTAATGTAATCGGGAGATTAATATATTTAACAGAAATTGATATTTAAAATATAATTCTATCTTGACAAACAATGTCTTCTCTCGGCCGAAATCAACAATCTCCGACATTCAACTGTTTCCAAAGCCTACTACTCCGCTACTCGCCAACATCAGCGGACACGGGGTGCAGGCACGGCGTGAAAATGACTGCCTATCATAAGGATCATAGGTGTCGATAACACTAATATTATTTTTTCCTATTAATATAATAATAATCATTTCATATTGTATATTACAATATTGGGTATGTATCTGTTGGTACATTATTTGTTTTATCGATGTTCACTGAATACTTATATAATAAACATAATAATATATTATTTCTTACAATAAAAAGGTATTTTTGTGCCTGCTAGAAGAAACGAATTTCAAGAAAAAAAAAGTTTGGGTGCATTTGTACCCCACTTGGTATTTAGGAAATTTTTTGACCAAGGTTTTATGAAGATTAAGATGGATAAATTGCAAGAAAACCTTCAAAAATATTTTCAAAATTGCTTTTTGCGGGCTAGACATTTTTTTAGTCCAAAACAGATTTAAAATTTGAATTTAGCACTTCAAAAAACGGGGGTATACCGGGTTTCATCCAATTATTCAGATAGTAAGATGTTTCAGCCGCTTTTGGTAGGCTTTAAACCAGTGTGGAGCGGGACAAACGACCTGCAGTGGAGTTTTAGATGCCACGAGGAAGATTTATAGAGAGGAAGGTTTCAGGGCGTTCTGGAAAGGTTCAGTTGGTAAGTTATTAATTAGAATACTTCGATAATTATTTTATAATACCATGCACTCGAAAAAGGAATCACAATAGCTCATACTCTTCTTTATTTTTTAATGGCGCTTACTGGAGCTGGCCTTAAGAAGGTTGTGATTTGTTTTTATATTGAGTAAAAATGAATTTTAAATGGTGTAGTTTAAATTTCGAGAAAAAATATTTTTTTGGAAATAGATTTGTGTGTCTGACAGCAGCGCTCTATCCTTTTTAATCTTTCTATAATTTGTGTTAATTCTTACAAATTTTATGTCAATTTTTAATAAATGACGTATAGAGATTGACCTTGCCAAAATTATTACCGATTGTTATTCACGAGCAGTCTTTGACACCGTTTTTTTATCATATGTTATAATAAGTAGGTCTCAAGGTTATCATTTCATCATTCATCATGATTTTTGATTTCTAAACTATTACAGTTTTTATTAATACACATCTATATTTTTTAATATTCAATAACTGAATTGATTGAATACTAAAGCAGTATTAAGTATAAAGATTGCTTATTCTTCTGTAGATATTTCTCTAGGGTGTCCATTACGTCAAAATTTGGGCATATCACCACTATAATAAAATAAAGGAAAAAATTGAAGAAACAAAGCTTTTATTGTTTGTAAAACGCCACGGGATTTATAATTTATAGATTATATATTTTTTGGATATTATTGCTGCTTATAACAAATAATTTTTAACGTCATATTAAATTAAAATTTTATTTGTAGGTAATTGCGATGATATATAAAACAAATTATGTATTTCTTTAATAGCCCGTGTGTTCAGATCTTCCCCACAATTTGGTGTTACTCTATTAACTTATGAACTTCTTCAAAGGACGATCTACGTCGATTTTGGAGGAACGTAAGTATAAAACAGGGTTTATATATTTTACTAGTGATTTCCCAAAAAAATACAAAACATATACTTAGTAAAAAACAAGCATTACGAATATACCGATTTGGTCATCGAAACTGTGCGGTCTGGATTTTAACGTGTAAGACAGTGATGTAGACAGCTTAATGGAAAATCAAATGTATTAAATTATTTATATAAATTGGGTCGACCCATTTCTTCTATGCGGTATTGCCGGATTTTACATCAAAATTTCGAACCGCACAAGTAGGCGTTTACGAAAAATGTTGCATCCAGGGTTGAAACATTATTTTTCACTATTAATTACTCATTTTACTACGGCTGTAATAGATTATATTTAGTATAGATATATTATCATCATTTCAGTAGTGTACATGAAAGTTTTTAAAATACTTTATATTTTTCTACACACATTTTTCTACAAACGTAAAAAATCGGCAACACTGTATGTCGCTTTTGATTTTGTTTCTCCGTCAGTCAACCCGTCATTTATATTATTCTCTGTCACACGCACTAAAATCCAAACCACATAAATTGGATGACTAGCAGCACAGAATATCTAGCTACGCAACAGAAAAATACTCGAAATGAAAGAGCTAAAATTGCACAAGTAGAATACTAGATGGCGCGACAATATCATAATTGTGGGGTCATGTGATCTTACCCTCCCTATTTACCAAGTCTGTGGTACGTCTAGAGATAGATTTTAGATATGATCTGTGGTTAGGATTAACTAGGGTTATGTTTAGGTTAGAGAGAGAGAGAGAGACAGAGAGAGAGAGACTCTTTGGTTGTGTGTGTGCTCCATAATGCTTATGATCTCATGGCATTGTTCGATGTATAATAACTGAATTAAGAATAAAGTTGTTAAATTGAGAAGTGTTTAGTTGAAGGTGTTGAACGGCCCCAGCGTTGAGCACCCATAATGGTGACCCCGTACCCATAATTGGTGACCCCGACGTGATCTGAGCAATGCTTTTTTGTATCTCAAAATATGCATCATCTCAAAAGATAAGATGTTTAGGACATATATTCATACATTTAAGTTTTTTTCTTAGAATAGGTCCAAGAATCACTTTCTTAAATATTAGCATGTCATTAAGGAACACCGTGTATACCTTTCCAAATTTATTTGAAAATACCGAGAAAGTTTTTTATTGTACGACTACTTGTAAATTATAAAGACTCGGGCTCCCAGTGTATAATAAATAAAATAATGTTGCTCCCAGTTATATTCCATTTTACTTTTTTTTTCGAAAATTGCATTTTAATGCTCAGTTGCAGCATTTAAGGAACCTTTATGCACATATTCCTTGATCAAATATTAACGAATTTTATACATACTTTTAGCTCCCCTTTAGTCTTCAATTTCGTCTCTAAAAAAAAAACAAAAGCAATAATTGAAAAGTCGGCTCAAAGACCGTTGTAACTAACATATTTTACGAAATGGAGTTTGTTTCATGGAATACCGATGTAAGTACACTATTACGTGAGGTAAAGTTTTTTATCTACTTCAGTGAGTTAAGAAGCCCTTAACTCACGCATTTTGAGTGAGTTAAGCGCTTCTGAATGAACGTCATCTACGAAAGCGGTATCCTACCCCAGGACTGGCTGACTTCTACGTTCGCACCTCTTCCAAAGAAAAATAAAGCAAGGAAGTGCGAGGACCACAGAACCATCTGCCTTATGAGCCATGCTGCTAAGATAATGATGAGGATCATTTTTAATCGGATACGCTCCAAGTGCGACAACTACCTAAGTCGATCGCAGTATGCTTCAGAAAAGGAACAGGAGCAAGAGAGGCTATCCTGGGCCTAACCTTAATAGCTGAAAGATACTTGGCGGTAAAGAAGGATCTTTATGTCTGCTTCGTAGACTACATGAAGACTTTCGACCGCATACAACATGAAAAACTAATAGACATCCTCCAGGAAATCGGAGTAGATAACCATGACATCATTGTAATTCGTAATATATACTGGAACCATAAGGGATGCGTCCGAACATCAACTGGAAACACCTCTTACGTAGATATCCAAAGAGGGGTACGTCAAGGCTGCCTTCTCTCCCCATTGTTATTTAATGTGTACTCGGAGTACATAATCAAACAATCGTTGGAAGATCGAGCTGAAGGAGCTAAACTAAATGGAATAGTAATTAACAACCTCCGTTACGCAGATGACACCGTAGTGATCGGACAGTCTAAAAAACAGCTACAGAGCACAGTACCAGAATGGGTTTGGAGGTAAACGCATCTAACACCAAAACTATGGTGTTTTCTCGGACCTCTCGGACCTCTCAAGATCACCCTCAATTAGACATTGTTGTTAATAACACCACTTTACATAATGTACAAAAGTACTGTTACCTGGGCAGGGAAATAAACAGTCAGCTCGACCACTCTATAGAGATTAGAAGGAGAATAGAAATCGCTCTTGCAGGATTCGTTAAGATGCGAAGCGTACTCTGCAACCCGCGTTTGTCCATAGGGGTAAGGTTGAGAACACTCAAGTGCTACGTTTGGCCTTTGTTGCTGTACGGGTGCGTAACTTGGACCCTAAAACAGGAGAACCTCAGGAAGGTGGAAGCATTCGAAATGTGGCTTTATAGGCGAATGCTACGTATAAGCTGGACCACTAGAACAACAAATGTGGAAGTACTGACCAGAATAAACACCCGTACCCACTTAGTCAACACAACAAAAATAAGGAAAACCGCTTACCTCGGGCATATAATGAGACACGAAGACTACGAACAGCTTCAGCTAATACTTCAAAAGAAGGGAAAGCGCGGCATAGGAAGGAAGAAGAAATCGTGGCTTGGAAATATACGAGATTGGACAAATATTTCAAACGGGAATACTTTAATACATCGAGCCCAACATAGGGAAGATTTTGCCATAGTGGTCGCCAACCTCAACCGAGACGGCACCTAGGGGGAGGAAGAGCTTCTTAACTCACGCATTTTCATTACCGCACTCCTTGTTTAGATGACTACCAAAGAGAAAAAAATATTTTGTAAAACATTTATTTTGCACTAAATACCTACTAAATACAAATAAACTGTTCTATGGATAATAATTATAAAAAAATGAAAACTTATTTATTATAAAGGTTAATGATAGAGTTTGAACAACCTTTCAAGTAAATGCCTGATAAAGCATATTATATTCATTTTAATAGATATCATAGTACGTATCATTGAATAGAAAGCCCAAATAGACGAAGGCTTATAAGCAGCGGATAAGTTGGAAAAACATATTATGAGTACCTTTTCATTTCCATAGTTGTGTACTTTTTTTCGGTGCACTATTTTTCATATTTAGAGTATGTATATTCATACTTCTGTTTCGATCTTGATCAGAAATGGCTCTGAATACCTCTTCTTCAATGTCAGAGGGAATATTTTCCGAATCGCTCATTTTTTAAACTCGCTCATTTTTTAAAGAACGAAATCGTTTTTAGCTTCTGAAAAATTTGATAATTGTTACTTACAACGTTCTTTGAGGCGACTCTTCAATTGTATTTTAGTGATTTTTTCTTCTACTAATACAGTTTTTCCTTGCAGTCGACCAACCGGCTCCGAACTGAAAGTGACGTCGATAGGTGGCGACCGCGCCCCATCCAATCCCGACCATGTGGGGGGCTATTCAGTCTCCGTTCTCATTTTCTCGGGGATCGAGACTAAATTCGGCCTATGTCTGCCCAAATTCAGCCTGGCCAGAACGTAAACGGAGACCTGCTTTAGTCGAATTTGTATAGAACCAAATCGCTTTATCGTGGAAAGAAAAATACTTTAACAAAATGAAAAGTAATCAACGTTAACAAACGGTGGTATTCATGCTTGCAACGTATTGATCTTAACAGTAGCCCTAGTTCTAATGGGTCCTAAGACATACATGCTCAAAACTAGAGGTTTTAAGAATTCTCGAAATAATATTTCACATGTTGAATTTGACGGTTTATAAAGTTAATAAATTATTTATTTTTTTTGGTCTAGAAATTATTAATGTAAGAATTAGTGTCTCTAGTATTCGAAATTCTAAAAATATTTGTGAAGTTGGGTTAGTTCAAAACATATATTTCATATGAGCGCAAGCTCTTACTAGAATATTCTTAAGATCAGTAGAAGTATGAATGGCACTTCCTTAAGTTCTTGAGCTTAATTTCTTAGAGTAATGTTAAGGGCAATCTTAGGACTACCGTTATCCGTTGATACGATCACAGATTCGGTATACTATAAATATGTATACAGATAAAAATCTTGTCCCTAATTTGTTGTATGAAAATTGTTTTTTATGACGATGAGCAAACGAGTAAAATTTCCTGTGCGTAAAACTCGCGTTTAAACAGCGTAATAACTGGTCCGGTCAGGCGCGGTGCACAATTTTAGAGGCCATAAATGGGCGTGCTATATGCGCGAACTAGTAACCTAACTAGTGCGCGACTCCGAAAATTGGAACCGCAAAAAACAATGCTGTGATACGATGGTCCGACGGCGCTCTGATTGGTCACAGAGTTTTCGCGCCACTTTTCATCCGTATATTTTTTCTTCAGTCCGTCAACGGAGAAAGATCGTACGATAACGGACGTTTTGACACTTTTTGACAAATTTAATCTAACCTTAATAAAAATATAATAGTACAAGAGCTAGCAACGTCGGGAAAACGAGAATTTTAAGAAAGTTGATTCTTTATTATATCTTTTGCTATGCTCTCCTGACCAAAGTGCGGACCGTCTGGCTGCCCGTAGACTACTGCGGTTCACTACTGTGCATCACATCTGTACAGGATATCCCATTTTCATGTGTTTGAAACGTCCAAAACGTTGCTAGCTCAAGACTATAAGTAAAACAGCGAAATCGTTATGGAAATGTAAATATCAAATGACACCCAATCACAAGCAAATCGTACATCCGATGAACGGAGGCATGAAAATGCAATAAATTTAAAAACTGTGCAATTTTCTAACAAATAATATCGTATCACCGGATAACGGATGCATAAAAATCAAGCTTAATACTCGAAGTATGAACTCATCATTATACATATTGTATCTCTATTATTACTTTGTCCATGATTATTACATAAATTCTAATGAAATGAAGATAGTAGCTAGTTTTCTGAATAAAAGCTGAATAACGTAAAGTACTAATTGTTTAACATTAATCTGTTTTTTTTTGTGAGATTCTACTCAAAGTCCTTAAACTGATATTGAACACAGCTGAAACACACTCAAAGATCTTATGTACTTTCAATCTATGTTTTTAGTAGTTTGATAGGATTATAGGACTTATATCAAGAATTCAAATCTCCGAGACACTTAAAATATTTTTCCCATATGTATCCAAACGTCATACGATCGAAAAAAAACGCCGTCTTAGTGGTCTACGATCTCAATGATTATAGATGAAAACTTTTATAAAAAAATGACATAAAGATTTGTTAAAAATTAATATTTAGGCATTTTAAAGGTCACTGTGGCGCCGTTTTTTTTTTCGGTCGTATGACATCCTGAAATATTGTATATCTGAACAGAAGAAAGGGTTTATGGAAGGAGCATTATGTTTTTTTAGAATGAACCAGAGTATAAAACATTCAGTTCAGGCACTGTGATAACTTTTTAAACATGTTTCATTGAAGAAAAAAAAATTGACGTTTATATTAAAACGTATTTTTTTTTAAATCAGAGTATTTAAAAGTGAAATAACTCCAATCTTTTTTTTTCTGAAACAAATTTTGTGTAAAAATTTTTAACGTCGCTGCGTTGGCACTATTTTTTTATTTTTTCCATTATTTTAAATATTTATCGATATTATACACTTTATTTTTTCAGGCCATTTTACCTCAATCTGCTCTACGAAATAGTTGCTAAATATTATTATGTTTAATTAAATAATTTTAAAAAGTTGACAAATCCTCTTTCTTTTAAATAAAACCTTAGCTGAGATGATGGTGCTTAGATAGATACCTATATCCTTAGTTGACAATCTGTCGTTAACATAGAATAAAATTAAACCCTCTCATCTGAAGGTCCAATCTATTCAAAATATTATAACATATAGAGGGTGTTTCAAAAGACGTGCCATCTCTCGTAGGGTTTGGTTTGGATTTACGCACCCTGTAGCTACGAAACAAAGCAGAATCGGACCTATGTTGATATGAAAAATAAATCTTAATTTTAAGAGATGGCACATGTTTTTGAAACACCCTGTATGTTTGAGGCTGCTTTAAACAAGTATAATACGTCTTTACCAAAGTTTCAGTTATTACACTACTTTTTTAGTGAGGTAAATTTATTACTAAATAGAAGTTTTATAGAATTTTATTAAAAAATATGCGTTTAAGGTATTACAAGAAGACGAATCACATTTCTTTAAAACAATTCTACCCAGAATTATTAAACTTGCTCTAAGATTGCCAGAGTTGATTCCTTGTGGAATTCCATTGTTAGCACAAAATCGTAACAGGTCATTAAGTTTATCTCAGTTACAAATATCGTGGCTTTAGCTAATGCATTTTTGTGTACATTTCCATATAAGAAGTCTGTAGCCTCAAGATACCCAGGTGTAAATTTTATTTCGTATGTATTTAGAAAGTAATAAACCCAGCGTGTGTTCAAAGGTCAAAGCGCCCTTCCGTGTTCTTAGTAGAGACTACGTTTAACCCAGCGCCTTCGGCTTTTCTGCTGTAAATATTTTTTATGTTTATATTTGATTTCAAAGAATTTATTTTTAAAGTTACACTGATATATTAGTATATCAGAGTCACTTTAATAAAACATAAGAATATATATATATTTTACAGTTTATTAAATATAAATTTGGACTACAAGGTAGAAAGTAAATCACAATATTTGATAAAACTTATAAGTATACCATTATTACAGTTAATAAATAATAAAACTATTTCTGACTATGATATTTAAAATTTAGATAGACAGAACATTAAAAAACATACCGGTATTTGCAGACGCAGGCCCAAATTCAATAAAAACCAAAATTTTTCCTGCGAAAATCGGGCTTTTTTCACAGAAAAGGTATTTTTTGATTTATCAACAATCATTGTCAAGTTAACAATATACAGGTTGTTTTCTAATTAGTTTAAAAAATTGTGGTGTGATTCCTCATGTGTTCTTAAAACAATTTTTATATAACCATTGGGTCTAATGTACTTCCTTTCTGATTCACAGGGTGTTAAAAATTAAAAAAATTGATATTTTGCTTAACATAAATGGTACACTACTGCTTTTTTAAAGAAAATATATTTTGTTTCTTGACTGGCCATCCTTTTTCAACAAAATTGATCTTTTGAGTTTTTCTTGTTCATCAAACGGTTGCTGAGAAAAAAAATAAATATACTTATTAAGAGCCCGCCTTAAGCCGTTTTCTAACGATTTTTTTTTATTTTTAGATTAATTAGGAAACACCCTGTATATGCATCACAGGCAACCAAATAAACTAGTAACCTCTAAAAATTATATTTCCTACCACTAGCGACAAACTGTGTTTTTAGTAAGTACTAAATTATTTTATCAAAACTATATTGTCACTATATAAGTTTCCAGGCATTGGTCGGTTGTCTTTTGAATTATAAAAATAATGAATTGTTAGTTTTTATAAACGTCACTATGTAGTTTTAGTTCACTAACTTTCATATCTATCCAGTCCAAAAACAGCAATATATTTACATACACTCCCGGAGCTTCCGACATGCCGCATCTTAGTCCCCAAGACACAATTCCTAATTTGTAGATACCGTTCTTCTTCGTTTCCTTCCACCGGGCATACTAAAGGTCCCCCTCCGTCTCCTTTACATGCATCATAAGGGTGTCCACCGGCACAAATAACGCTGTCGTGTAGAGTGAAACCAGGCCCCAATCTTGTACCCCTCAGCGCCTCTGTGCACTTGCTTCTTGACACCAGAGGTATAGTAGCTTTTTTCAAAACAGGCTGGTATGAACCTTTTTGAATAGAGTTTTTACCCCAACCGGTCACTATGCACTGCGACAGGATGACTTTAGGAGTCTTCGCTGGCAGGCATATTATGCCTACGTTCCTCATAAGCTTGAAGGATGCGTCTAGGAGAATAAGAGCGATGTCGTGCTGTAAAGATGGAGGATGGTAGTCAGGGTATATAAAAATTTCTTTTGCCGTTCTATTCAGTCCAAAAACAGCAATATATTTACATACACTCCCGGAGCTTCCGACATGCCGCATCTTATTCCCCAAGACACAATTCCTATTTGTTGATACCGTTCTTCTTCGTTTCCTTCCACCGGGCATACTAAAGGTCCCCCTCCGTCTCCTTTACATGCATCATAAGGGTGTCCACCGGCACAAATAAAGCTGTCGTGTAGAGTGAAACCAGGCCCCAATCTTGTACCCCTCAGCGCCTCCGTGCACTTGCTTCCCGACACCAGAGCTATAGTAGCTTTTTTCAAAATAGGCTGGTATGAACCTTTTTGAATAGAGTTTTTATCCCAACCGATCACTATGCACTGCGACAGGATGACTTTAGGAGTCTTCGGTGGCAAGCATATTATGCCTACGTTCCTCATAAGCTTGAAGGGTGCGTCTAGGAGAATAAGAGCGATGTCGTGCTGTAAAGATGGAGGATGGTAGTCAGGGTGTAAAATTAAAAATTTCTTCTGCCGTTCGGTCTTGATGTGGTAGCGGTTCATTTTCGCGTTCCCAGTACCATTCACCAGCTCTCACGGTGCCCCACATCGGTAGAAGAGTCCTTTTTAGATGCCTAACATCCAGGGGAACTCAACAAATTCTGTGGTGTCCGCGTCGCCTAGGATCCGTTGCTGGACTTTTTCCTTGTTCTCTGCGGGTGCTACGGTGTTGCCTTTCTTGCCGCATTTTGCTTCACATAGGATCACTTTAGGAGTCTTCGGTGGCAGGCATATTATGCCTACGTTTCTCAAAAACTTGAAGGGTGCGTCTAGG